GATGATGATGTTCGTGATCTCAATCTTGATATGGAATATGAAAGTATCGATAAATTGATTTTAGAAACACAAATTTCTGATGATGAAATTAAAATGCGATTACTCATTTAAAGAGTGGTAAGGCAGCTGGACCTGACAACGTTGTGATTGAAATGATAAAATGTTCTCAGGTCGAGTTAATGCCCTTCCTACGGAAATGTTTCAATTCTATATTTGACAAAGGTGTATTTCCAGATAACTGGTCTCGTTCAATTATTGTTCCATTACATAAAAAGGAGCTTTAGACAACCCGGATAACTATAGAGGTATATCGTTAATGAGTATTTTAGGCAAGGTATTTACAACCATATTAAATAACAGAATTTCAAATTGGTCAAATATGAGAAACCTGATTCCCGAATGCCAAGCCGGTTTTAGCAAAGAATATTCAACTGCAGATCATATTTTCACATTATATGCCATAATCCAAAAATGTCTTTCACGAAGTAAGCACAAATTATATGTTGCTTTTGTTGATTTCAAGAAAGCTTTTGACTCTGTAGATCGTTCCAAATTGTGGTATTGTTTAAAAAAATCTGGTTTACAAGGAAAAATGTATAATATTCTAAAGTCAATGTATTCTAACATAAAATCGTGTGTACGTTGTGGTAATGATGTAACCGACTTCTTTGATTGTCCCATAGGGTTACGACAGGGCTGTATCTTAAGTCCAATGTTGTTTTCTTTATAAGTGAACTGTATTACGATATTACAATCTCTGGTAAACACGGCGTTCAAATGTTTCCTGATATGCTTGAAATTTTCATCCTACTTTTTGCTGATGATGTGATCTTGGTGTCCGATACTATTATTGGCTTACAAAATCAACTCAATATCTTAGAACGTTACACAAACGACTGGAAACTCTTTGTTAATTTCGAGAAAACAAATATTGTAATCTTCAGAAGAGGCGGTCCCGTCGCTTCAAAAGAGAAATGGTTTTTCAATGGCAAGTTACTGACTATCGCTAATCACTATACCTACCTTGGTCTTATGTTTTCTCACACGATGAATTTTAAAAAAAGTGTTCTTTATTTGCAATCACGTGCAAAGAAGGCTTTCATAAATGTTATGTCTGTTTCTCAGAATATAGGTGCCTTCACTCCAAACATATTTTCAAACTATTTGATTCACAAATTCAACCGATTATGCTTTATGGGTCAGAAGTTTGGGGGTTTCAGCGTCAAGAATGTCTTGAGAAACTTCATCTCTTAGCTTGTAAAAGATTTCTAAATGTTGGACAAGCAACGCCAAATTGTATGGTTTATGGGGAATGTGGGAGATTTCCAGTTTATATAAATTCACAAATCAGATGTTTGAAGTATTGGCTTAAGATTCTGGAAATGCATGAACAACGAATACCTAAAATAGCTTATAATATGCTTGTTCATCTTGATAGCATGGGCAAGACAACTTGGGCTTCACATATTAGAAATCTTTTATTTTCCCATGGCTTTGGATTTGCATGGTTAAATCAGACAGTGGGTAATGTAACTCTGTTTCTTAAACGTTTCCGAGAACAGTCAATTAATATGTTCTATCAAGAATGGCATTCGACTCTCGAAAATAGTTCAAGGTATGATCTATATAGGTCCTTTAAGAGCCTTATCCAACCAGAAATATATTTATCTGTATTGACATCAAGAAATATCAGACGCACTTTTGTTCAGCTCCGACTAGGTTTATTAGATTTAAGTATTAATAAAGGTAGAAGATTGTCTATAGACAGAAATATGAGAATTTGTCCATTATGCACTTCATCTATTGAAGATGAAATTCATTTTATATTTGTATGTCCATATTATGATGATCTTAGAAGAAAATATATTTCAAGTAATTATCTATCAAAATATCCAACAATAGCCTTTGTCTCAATTCTCACTTCCAGAAATGAAACTGTTATCCGCATCCTTTCTCTATTTGTAAAACATGCTGTTGTCTTGAGAAATGATAGGTTATCTAAGCAATAACCATTATAATTGCCATTGTATTATGTACTGTAATTATGTATATGTATGTAACTCCTTGTATATGGGCCGGAGGCCTTGAATACAATAAACTTGACTTGACTTGACTTGACACTCAACAACCACATCTTCTGCAGCAACCCCACTAACAACATACACAGAATCATCACAAGTAACATCAGAGGGAGTGTGTGAATTTTGTTTTACGCCGCTTTTAGCAATATTCCAGCAATATCAAGTGGGGGGACTCCACGCATTGTACCCATTCTGAACTGGGACATTCTGTAGGTGGAATCAGTATGCTGTCGGATATTTGGGTACATGAATTCAAACACCACGTGCAAATAGCAGAGCAAGAAATCAAATGCTGCTGTAATTTATTGACTTGATGTATTAACATTACAACGTTAACAAGAACAATTGCAATACGTGCATAGAAAAGGTACTTGGAAAAGAATATCTAGGCATGACGATCCTCAGATTACGTTTGGTGTAAAGGTCAAAGCAGCCGTTGAAAGTAAATTAAAGAACCAGTGAACATCTGTGATGCCACAAGGTGTTCGCGAATTTACAAGCAGCAGCACCAGCCATTAACACAATTTGTGTATGATTACACAATGCCAATTTAGATAGTGGTCAAATGTAACATATGGTATATTTGGGATTACACTTTCTTAGTAAAGTACAAATTCTAGTACTTTTGGGGTTGAGTCTCATCGGGAATTGGAACCCACACCCTCAGAGTCAGGCACCTAATCGCCAGCACTCAATGTCAACCGCTTAACCCGCTCAGCCACCGCAACTTCCACACACATGGAAGTCGGACAACTGGTAGTCTAGACTGCGGACTTTGTGTACACCTCTGAGAAGTGTAAATTGGCATGGCTCCCACGGCCGAAAGCTATGATTACACAATGCCATTTTAGAAAGTGGTCAAATGTAACGTATGTTATATTTGGGATTACACTTTCTTTGTAAAGTACAAATTCTAGTACTTTACTAAGAAAGTGTAATCCCAAATATAACATATGTTACAATTTGTGTACTGCCCGACGCTGCATACAGTACTAAAGTAGCATGAATAAATGTTTGGTTCATGGAGAAAGCAGCACTAAAAAACTTAACTATTTTGTTCTGGGGATTTGGTCTCCAGCAACCCATGTTTGTCGTAACAGTCGAGGTGAAATTGGGTTTTACGTCGTGCTGGAGAATATTTTGCTCATATGACGGACGTGCATGCGTGTGTATGTGTATGTGCGGCTGCTTGTACTAGCCCAGACTTATGCTGGTTTTATAGTGCTAGCCCACTGAGATACCATGTCGCAGTGAAGCATGAATACCCCACTCAGACACATTATACTGAATCCACGCCGACCAGTCCTTGTTGTACCCATTAATGCCGAGCGCCAGGCAGGGACCAACAAGTACCATATTTTAACGTCTTTTGGTATGACGCGGTCGGGGATCAAACCAGCGACCTTCCGCTCTCCGGGCGGATTTGTCGTAACAGAGATCGGACTGACCTGGTCGACACATGTTAGCATATCCCAACTGCGTAGAACGGTACTCATGCTGTTGATCACTAGATTGTGTGGTCGAGTCTCGAATATTCACAGACGTTTCCCATATAGTTTGGATATTCCTGGGTGCGGCGTTAAAAAAAGAAACAAACAAAAAATCCATCCAGTATGATGGTCCACTTCACATCTGAAGTGGTCCACTATTTCGACTAACCTAACGGATGGCTTTTGACACTGGCGTTCCGACCACGTCCCGCGCGCGAGGAAAGGTTAGATAGTTACAATAGGCATACGCACAAGAATTTGAGTCTTGAGAAGAAGAAACCCGTTCAAGTCTGCCACAGACGTGAAGTGGATCATCATACTGGATGGATGGATGAATGGACGGACAGCTCTGTTGAACGGCTTGGTTAACCCCTTCACGCTCTGATTGCCACTGTTTGGGGGATTCCAAGATAGGAGGTCCCAAGCTGGCTTGACATACCAAAGTACAACATAGTTATAGAAACTAGAACCCGCTTTTTGTTTGTTTGTCCCATTCGGTCGCCAGAACTGCACCACATTTTCACCATTTTATGTCTGGCTTCTAGACCATAGGCCAGGCACCGCAAGACGAGATGACAAGACTGAAACTGTCATCGGGAGACAACAAATGTTTGACTACTCGTGGGTTTGACCCATGATTGATTAAGCCATCTTAATATATGTTCATGTTTTAATTACAAGGAAATATATGAAGACATATTTTAACAGCCTTCATGTTTAATCGTATGTGTATAATGTGAGCGAACACATGGGTTCACATACTCGTAACTAACGGTGATTCTATTGAACAAACATACTTATACGAGAGGTGGGTGAAAACGCCCGAGTCTCAATACGACAGTGAGTGAGTGAGTGAGTGAGTTAAAATGTAAAGTCACTTTGGCAATATTTCAATTATATCGTGACTAAAACAATAAATACTTTATAAGTATATTTCATAAAATCTTCCATCAAAGGACAGTAAAACAACTAGTATATCACAGTTAGAGATTTAAAACTAGCATGTAGCTTAAAGTTATATACCATGTAGGACATTACAACATAAAAATGCGCTATAGATCGCCAGCAAATGAAGGTAGATCACCACGCTAGGAACCATGGGGACTTACAGTGTCCTTGCTACCTGCATGGATTTACACCATCCCTTCTAGCCACAAATTAAAATTACAAAAATACTACGTTTAAAAATCTTGTAAGTATAACTTTACCTTGAATGTTTTGGGACTTACGTATCTCCACTACGACAGTCTGGCTTGATCAATTTGGTGGCCATGTTTTTTTCACTTATTTTTACATCAGTAGTGACGGTTTGAAAAATGCTAATGATCAACGATGGCCGGACGAGGGGAGACAGTGACTGAAGCTGGGCCTCCCATCATCCTTCCCTGTTGTTTACCACTGCTTAATCAAACAAATAACCAACACGACATCAGCATGTACATCAATATTTATTTATATAAGCACTGGGGCAATATCTTGGTTTTGTTAAGTGAGAGTAAATTTAGTTTTACGCCGCTCTTAGCAATATTCAAGCACTATCACGGCGAGGGACACCAGAAATGAGCTTCACACATTGTGCCCATATGGGGAATCGAACCCGGGTCTATGGCGTGCTGAGTGAACGCTATAACTACTAAGCTACTCCACTGTATCAGTATTAGTAATATTTCGGGAGTATTTCAGAATTTGTTTGTTGGTAATTTGTTCTATATAAATAAAAGTCATCTGTCAAATTTCATTGGTATGTGTCTAGTCTATTTGATACACGCCACTTTCTCGTTACACAGTCTGCAATTGATGGAGGCATTTTGGCTCCTTGCGACCATCTGCTTTATGTAAGGACTGGTGTGGTCATTGTCAAACCACCATCGGCCCTGAAACATTCTCCAGTCACAAAGGCTGCTTTCTCGGAGGCTAAGAATGCAACAATGTGGCCAATTTCTTCTGTGGTACCTGCTCGACCAACTGGCGTTGCGTTAGTTAGACCACTATCCATCTGGAACAACGTGAGTGAGTGAAACAATTTATCCTAATTTATTTATCATAATATCAAAGAAAACCTACTTCAGCTGGCTTTTTTCGAGCACCAATCTGATTTACATTCATTACGAGACCGTAAGAGGCGACTAGATCGATGCTCATGATGTTGATCACTGGATAGTCTGGTCCAGACTCGATTATTTACAGAGTGACGCCATGTAGCTGGAATATTGTTGAGAGCAGCGTTAAGCAACAATCAATCATTACGAGCATTCTCGGTTAAATGATTTGTAGACTATGCATGAATCACCCCTGGATATACGACAATCGAAGATAAAGGTTGCTTATGTTATTCATTCTCGGTTTATCTTCCAGATATGGTAGCATAAATATAATTACCTGGGCACAATCTTCTTTCGATAAGTTGCGAGACAATAATTGAGTGGGTATGTAACCTGGGCTGAAACAGTGAAAACAACACCGTGAATAGAACCATCGTGTCAAATACAACAATAACAAAAGACAACACATCTGGCAGCGAATACAAACACAATAAACTGTAATAATGAATATAGCAGTCACAGAGATAGTGTTTACCTTCGTGTAACCCAAAAGGCCACAGGATGTGCTGATTTAATGGGTTTCTTATAAAACTACTTCCTGCTTGCCAGTTCCAACTTCCTACTTCGTGTGCTGCACGTGTGCATGTGTGGAGTGATAGATACTCTAAAGCTGTAGGACCTGTGAGATTTCTGGTTACATAGTAGATAGTACTGACTGACCCTGAATGCACAATTTAATCATATCAAATGAAAATATATATGATAGAAGACATGGTAAATATTAGTCAAATCATTGTACAGATAATAAACGGAACGGTACAACAAACAAACGTAAAAATCTGTTTCCATCGATGTTTAATATCAATCTCAACAGCATGCACACACCGAACATGCACGGACTAAAGCAAGTGAACATTATTTTCTATATAACTGTTACCTTTCTCTGTGTACTTACTTGACTGCATTCACGCGAACTCCGTGTGAAACCATTTCTGTAGAAAGAAGTTAAGCTGTTTATTTGCTTGCTGGTAAAGCCACTTAGTAATATTTGATCAACCAGTTGAATTCTGTGACAGGTATAACTCCTGAACTCGGAGTCCTTGTTGGGTAAAATCATGTGCTTCATATTCAAGCTTAATCTTGTCATCTTGTGTGTTTGAGAAATGTTTGTCAAGAGCTGTTTGTGCAAATACGTTATTACATATTGAGTTACTGATTTGGTTTAAAGGTACTTTCATATTTCAGAAGTGCCAGTTTCTGCACAATGTCAAAAGGAATCCCAGTATCAGTTTTTTCCTCAAACAAATGAAATCGTGTGACATTTTAACTATCCATCACTCCTGTCTATAAGAGAATCTTTCAAGTGTTATGGATGGGGTTTCTAGGTAGCAGTTACAAGTGAAATGCGTAGCCCATATCACCGCGTACGTTTCCTTTGCCTTGACTACATTACAAATAATGGAGATGAAGCTTTTCACTTGGTGTAGTTATATGTACAGCGTGTTGTTTCGTGGTCAAAATTTGAATGCTCGATTACAACCGACGATTATTGGATGCTTGATTGATATAAGACTACAAAGGAATCTCTGTCACCTCATGAGTGGGCAACACATGGTTTTCAGAATTGTATTGTATTTTTACCATGTGCAAGGTATCTTGTGAATTTGTCCAAGGCCGCCTTTGACATGGCGTAGATACCCCATCCGTGAGCCTGCACGGGAGGAAAGGTTGATAAGTTGAATGGTCTTTGCATGATAGATAAAAGTAACAGATGCAAATCATTTACTTAAGTTCATACAGATATCTAAAATGATGAGTTAGGGTAAGGTTCGATTTTTGGACCTATCAAAGTAAGAGCATGTAATGACCCCAAGTGTGTTTTTCATTTATTTCCCTAGCCGGAGAAAATCTGAGACTTTTTCACTTAAGTTCTCAAAACAACATTAACTGAAAACCTAAAATCACCCCCTCCGACAAGGTATAAATTTACCTGTAGATAATACGGGTTGCTGATAGAAAACAGGGTACACAATTTACACAAGCAACAAACCAACTGACTTGCCAAAGGAGACACCACAAAGGTGACATGTAGGTACACAACGTCCCCATTTCCTCCTTTTCTTTTGAATGTCTCAACAATAAAAGAGAAGAAACTAAAATTGCCACTACTAATTCTTCCATTATTAACACAACGCTCATTTTGGTCATACCTTTGCTTTAGTGTGTGATACGTGTGGCCTATTCTGAAATCGATTGGGTTTAAAGGGGGTTGGTGTTACAGGTTGTGAATCATTCTTGTATTTGTCAACAACACACTCACAATTGTACTCGTGACGCAAGATGAAATATTAACCACACATCCTGAAACAGAAAGATTTGTCCAGCCCTATAATGTATGACACACATAACATCCCACTGAATAAAACAGGAAAATATCAGGTTTTAGATTTTGACATCTTATGTGTATCTTAGTTATTGGAAAATGTTCTATATGACGATATGATGTTTAGTACTCATTATGTTTGGATCACTGTATCAAGACGTACAATCACATCCTTTGTCTGAAACGAGGAACAATTTATGGCTGCAACACCCAGCATACCCTTGTGTTAAACATTGCTTTGTCCTAAGTCCCGAGACACTTTTTCAAGTATCTTCAATCAATCACTGCGCCTTAATATCATGTCAGGCCTAAAAGCGTACTCATGGTAAAACTATCCACACTCACTAACAAGCACAAGAAAGTACCTTTTGATTCAGTCAAATACGGTGCAACTAACTGTGTCAAAAACACGGGTGCCTCCACGTTTACGGCCATGACACTGTCATACAGCTCTTTGGTCGTTGATTGCAGCGGACTTGAACCTGTGGTCCCAGCACTGTTCACCTAAACACGGACAAAAGATAACACAATTGTTTGTGGACTACCTGTACATAGAATCGTGTGATTGATAGTATGAGCAACGACTATGACATTGTTTGTGGACTTGTTTAACAACCAGCAGTGTGAGGACTACCTGTCCATATTCCAGATAATCTTGTGATTGATAATATGAGCAAAGATTATGACATGGTATCCACCAGTTATCCAATGAACATCCGATGTCTCGAGTGGCCTCATCCAGCTCTGGATTGGCCTAGTGGTTCCAACATTGGTAGGGATCTGGTTCAGGATCCCAGATCTGGGCTAGTCCGTGGTGATATTGCCATAATATATAAACATGGTAATGATAAAAGCCAACCTAAACCAAACCAAGGCATGTTGAACTTAATGGTTAAAGGATTCTCCACGTAATCGGCGTTTTAGTTTACATTAGTTTACTCACAAAGGGAAAAAGGACCGGGGACATGCTCTTAGAGCTTAAAAATCAAATTATATGTTTATGATCAGTCACTTCGTGTGGGTTACGACATTTGCAAGGTGGATCTGTAATTAAGCCCAATTTGTAAAGATGGTCTACTATAACTACTAGCTGCATGACGTATTTGTGTATGTAAGTTTTCCAATACGGTCATAATAGTAAGGAGAAACTGGGGTGTTACATGTTTCCATTCTCGATTTGAATTTTGATGATGAAGTACAAATTCTTACTTCTGAAAATACATTGTTCCACAATCGGATTTTCATTAGAAAAACACCATATGAAAAATGTTTATTCTTGTTTTAGACATTTCAGCGTCGTGACAAAAGTATTCGCGATTTGGCAAATATGGCCGTTCGGCTTTGATTGAAACGTCTCGTATTTCGTATCTTGCCTTGCAAATACTGAACAGATGTTCATGTTTGATACGTCGCATGTGAGCTTGATATACGATTAGTGCGCATGTGCAATGACGTCATATATCGTCAGCTTGGAATGCAGAAATCGTCTGCTGTAAACAATGGGCCGAAAATCAAAGGAACTCAACATCAGTACGAAAGAACTAATTGTGGATTTGAAACGGAATGGAAAGAAAACTTCTAACATTGTGAAATTATTAGGTGTACCTGAATCAACAATTCGGTATGTTTGGAAAAAATATTTGAATCCAGGTAATGTTGAAAACAGCCGACGAAGTGGTAGGCCGAGATTGTGAGTATTCGTAGTGAACATGTTTTGTTAAGGGAGTGTGCGCAAGAATAGATTTAACATTCTATGAGACATTACCCATGATTGTAATGTTGGTCAACATCAACAAGTAAACAGTAGAACAATTCAAGAGTTTTGCATCGGAATGGTGTTTTTCGTCGGGTTATTAGAAAGCGCAGTCTCCCGATCTCAATATTATTGAAAATGTATGGCTACACATCAAAAGAACACTACAGTGACGATCACAATCTATCCTGACCACTGACGAACTGCATGACGCCATCCACGATGTCTGGACAAATATCACTCCACATGTTAGAAACATATCAATCAATTCCACGACGGATTATGGCCTGCATACGCTCCGGGGGAACTTGACCAAGTACTGAGGTATGACATAATTCTTTTTTTGAAATATCGCTGTTTAAAGTTTTCATACGGTCTTGTGTTTACTTCCGCCATTTTGAAAAGTCGGGAATACTTTTGTCATCACGCTGTACATCCTAATGCCTGTTTCCTTTCTGTAAACTGGACTGTTGTTCTGAATGGTATAGAATAGAGAATATTTCTGAATTCCTGTAGTAATGCGTGCAGCCTCCATCTGGATACTTTCCAATTGTGAAGTTATTTCTTTTTTCACTACCATCCAAGACTGTAAACATGGTTTAATGAAGAGTGCGCAAATCTTTAGATGTGTATTCTGCGATTTGAGTTAAAAGAGGTCTCAAATCTATTAAGGTTTTCGGAAGCCTTGCCTAATTATGCGTCAACAATAGGCGAGTTAAGCAGTCTAGATCACGAGCAATGCCATTTACATAGATAATGAATAGAAATGGCCTAAACACTGCTCGCTGATCCCTGATGGGTGTACATGAATTCTTTTCTCAGCCTGTTACGACTTGCCAATAAATATAAATCCCCGAATTGTCAAATAATGGCATTTTCCATCACATTGTGTCATAATGATATGGTTCGAAAACATCCTTGAAATCAGATCTACAAAGCACATGATTGACAGAAGAAAGAAATGTGATTTAGAAAACTTTACCATCTGTAAATATCATATTTACAACAAAAAAACAAACTGTAAAGATGATATTTATAGGCTTCTTTCAATTTCTTTGGGATCATGTTTAAAGTAGGCGTTTTCTATTCACATACAATCAACCAGGAACCAATTCTATACATTAGTATAACTTCACTCATCTGCATCCTTCTTGTTCTAAGTGTCATAAGTGTCAAAAGTTTATATTGACTGTTATATTTGCCACTAGTATGGCTAGCATCCTAGAGGACAACTTAGCTGAAAGTGTGGTCAGACTGGTGCTTTTGTAGAAACCCTTCTGCATAGGCCAATGTTCACAATATCAGTCACTGTGTTTCTTATGCTGCCTCTGTATACGAGCATTTGTGAAATTGATGAGCCTATGTCGCGATTAACAAGAAACAGCACTATCAATTTCAAACAATACGTTCAGCTGGACGTGTCTGGTTCCGGATTATCCACAAGAACCTGAAATGTTGCAGTTTTTCTTTCTGATGGTACAAAAGGTATGCATTCATATGTCCTTTCAACACTTCTAGTTGCCATATACTCACCAGAATGTCTATTTTCCCGAACTTCTGAATGGTTGCTTCCACCAGAGTCTTTCTGAAAGCATCCTGTGTGATGTCACCCATGTTTGTGAGAACATCCTGAAACAGAAAGTTAACACGCTATCGAAATTCATTCCATCTCTATGAATGTGAATTTCTTTTACTTGCCAGTCAGGAAATAGGGCCAATAATTGGTTAAGGAACTAACTTTTTTCCCACAGCAAGCCTTAAGGACATGAATCGCTGTCATTCATGACTAAAGGGACGAGTAGGGTTATGTGTTTATGAATAAATTGGCATTTATAAGAGTATCAAAATGATTTTCTTGATAATCTCAAGATTTATCTATTGATTTCTCTTTACGTCAGAAGCTTCCGTCTTGCAGTTCTTGACCACTTCCTCCAAATTCTTCTCATTCCTGCCAGTCAGTGACAGTTTGGCCCCTTCTCTCGCAAATACTGTTGCAATTCCTGCCCCAATTCCTGAACTGGAACCTGAAAGGAAGAGTGAGTGAGTGAGTTTAGTTTTACGCTACACTCAGCAATATTCCAGCTATATGGCGGCGGTCTGTAAATAATCGAGTCTGGACCAGACAGTCCAGGGATCAACAGCATGAACATTGATCTACGCAATTGCGATACGACCAAATGTGTCAACGCAGTCAGCGAGTCTGACCACCCGATCCCGTCTGAAAGGAAGAACGTGCTGACTGACATATATTCATTTCCCTGTTTCCAGATTTTCATTGCGTGTGTGCGTGTGCGAGTGCGTGTGCATGTGTTTGTGCGTGTGTGTATGCGTTTGTGCGTGTAAATAGAGTTACAACGTGTTTCCCAATTACGCCATGCTTGTAAGAGCCAATGATTCAGGTTATAATTGTCACAGTAAGCATGTCTGTGTAACGAGAGGACGTGTTTTACATCGCTCTCCAAAATGGGGATCTCATTAACTCAATATCGGGCCAAAATCGGTCGTTTTACACAGCCAAATAAGTCAAAAAAGAAGACCTACATTCCTTACAATCGGAGGGAAAGGTATGAAAATGTGCATCAGACTTTTAATCATGTTGAGCTGTCTGCTGATTGTGAGTGGGGACGTCGAGTCCAACCCGGGACCTGGTCCGACCACGAGACAACAAACTACACTATCAGTGAGTGAAAGCGGCTCAATCGAAGTGCAAACGAGCGGAAATGAAATTATGAAAATGTTAAGAGACCTAAAAAACGAGTATGGCAACCATGAATGAGAAGTTTGAATGTCTGAATGACAAGGTAGGCAATATGGCGGCCAAAATGAATGAGGTCAATTATCAACTACATGCGTTGAGCGAGGAAAATCAACAACTTCGGGACTCAGTTATTCAGCTGAAAGACAAAATAGAAGACAGGGAATGCAGGGAACGCCGAAATAATCTCGTGTTTCATGGGATTCCGGGATCTAAAGGTAAAAACTTGGGATGAATCGGAAGAAAAAGTACGTACGTTTTTGAGTGAGAAGCTACACATTGATAACAACAAAGATGTGGTAATCATACGTGCACACAGACTAAACCCGAGAAGAAATGATTCTCCTATTATAGCAAAATTCCTGCTGACAAAGGACAAGAGCAGTATCTTCAAACAAGCCCGGGAACCACTGGAACGAGGAGCCAGGACACGAGTGACAGAAGATTTTCCACAGTCAGTGCGCGAGGATCGACGAGCACTATCGCCTTGGTTTGTGCAAGCGCAAGATGCGGGAAAACAACCTAAAATGCGTCTAAACAAGTTGATAGTTGAAGGGGAAGTATTCGTGTATGACAAAATGTCTAAATCCGTCAAGAATATTAATATTTCATGCGATCAACCACACAGCTCACAACCAACAGGCAATAAGCGCACATGGGAATATTTGTTTGGACCCGGAAACAGGGAAACGCCCACTCCAAGGGAGGCAACTCCCATGCCGACGTCTCAAAACAAAAACACTTGAAGAAGTGGCCACGGCCTCACATTTGACATTCTTTCATGGAACATAGAAGGATTACATAAACATGATACCCCAGATTCGCAGGTAAAACGTTTTTGCGCTGATTATAACTTGATTGCCTTTTATGAATCTTTTGCTCGTAGCGCAGATGATTTTAAAAGCTTTCTGTTCGGTTTTCGATCATGTAACAGTGCACGTATAAAAACTAAGAAATTTGGTCGACACAGTGGTGGCGTAACAATTTTCATCAGAGAATCATGGCTGAATGGGGGATATTTAACTAGAATGTATGAACAATACTGTGGTTTTCCTGTTCAAAACATCGCGATTAGGTAGTGCAAACGATACAGTACTGATTCTGACATATCTTTCACCTGAAAGCTCCCCCATCTATGAGGATACTGATAAAGATGGCATGTCTGTTTTGGAGGATTATTTGACTCAGATAGTTTATGACCACCCAGATAAAGAACTTTTCTTAACCGGTGACTTGAATGCTAGGACTAAAACATTCCTTGACTACATACCGGAAGATAACATTGACTTCATACAGCAAGGCATTGATGACTACCCTACTGACAGCTTTGCAGCTCCCAGGAACAACAAGGATTCAGATACTTGTAATAATTTTGGTAAGAAGCTGATTGAACTGTGTAAATTATTCAGCATTCATATTTTGAACGGGAGATGTCATCAAGACAAGCAAGGTGAATATACATGTATCACACATAATGGGGCCAGCACTGTTGACTATATGATAGCCTGGCAAAGCTTATATCCATTTATCTCGGACTTTGGTATTGGTACACGAGATGACTCAAATCACTTTCCAGTCTTCTGTAGGTTTGATTTCAAACATCAAGGTTTAAATGATATACAAACCCTTGACAAGTGTGAGACAAGTGTCAATGAAGCAACTCCCTGGTCACGATATCTATGGAAGGAGGAAAACAGTGTGGTGTTTAAATCTAAGTTTAAAGAGTTATATTATCTATTAAAGGATGAAATTGATCACCTAATACCAACAGATGTGAACACTGCATTAAGTTTACTTGTCGATGTTTATCAAGAAGCAGCATCTATAAACAAGAGAGTCTACTTCACTAGTTCTAACCATAATTCCAAGTCTAAACTATACAGCCAACCTCCCTGGTGGGACAGTGAACTTGAATACCTAAAGTATGAGAAATATCGCGCACTGAGGGGCCATAGAGACCATAACTTGGACTTTAACATATTCAGGGAGCTACGCACTAAATTCAAGAAAGCATTTGTTATCAAGAGACAATCTTACCAGGACAAACAGAAACAAAAACTAATTGATGCTAGAGGAAAGCCTAAAATTTTCTGGAAATTGCTGAAACAGGGAAGACAATCACACATGCCAGATGGAATCAGTACCCAGGAATGGACAGATCACTTTTCTTCTCTCCTCAAAACAGAAAATCCACCTTCTTTACCTCCTACTATAGATGAAGATGACAGTGGTACCAGGGCGGAATTAAATCAACCTATTAGCTGCCAAGAAGTTGAACAACATATAAAAAAAGTTAGCAAATAATAAATCACCTGGACCTGATGGAGTTGTCACGGAATATTTTAAAAATACAACAAGTACTATTTTACCCACAATTACAGCCATGTTCAATCAGATATTTGATTTAAACATATTTATTCAAGAGAATGGATTGGGTACAAGTTATGCCAACTTAGTGAAACCCTCTCCTATTTGCAGTGCTTACATGCAAAAGTGAAACAAACTATATGTACAGGGATAGAAAGATATATACAAAATGATATATACAATACAATGAATACATGAATTATTTAGATCATACACATTATATCTGATCACTGAACCTTTTGGAATTTGATATATATTTTTGAACTTCTTTAAAAATGTGAATATTGTCACTATACGGAAGATCTGCACTGCCATTTAATAGTACGTCTAGGTTTGTTGGTGCTTTCATGTTACAAATTCTGCTAATATTTTGAAACATTTCCTGTCTGATAACAGAATACAAAGAACATTCCATAAAATAATGTTGAGAATTTTCACAGGTAAATTTACAATTACATTCAGGGTTCTCTATGAGACCGATCCTATATAGATCACCATTTAATCTACTATTTGAATATCTTAGCTGGGTATGAATTACATTGAGTTTTCTATTACCAAATGAGAAATATCCTGGTGCTTTTGACTTACGCGAGCTTATATGCGATTTAAAACTTTTAAGGGAAACTGATTCTCTAACATATAAAGGGAGATTATTCCAAAGTTGTGCAGATGATGGGAAAAATGATTGACTGTAGAGATTTGTGCGGGAATAGTACAGGAAAAGATCACGAATGTTTCTAAGATTATAATTTGTCCTAGATTCAACAGTTTGCGGCATAAGATCACAAAGGTAGGATGGAGCATTTTTGTTGTATATATTATAGAATAAAGACAATTTACGACATCTTCTTCTTTCTTTTAACATTTGCCAACCTGTTTCATATATCAGAGTATCTCTTGTGGCTTTTTGTGGCATATTTTGGTAAAATATTGGACAGATCAATCACAGAAAATCCATGCCACTATAGATGGAATCAGTACCCAGGAATGGACAGATCACTTTTCTTTTAACTAATCTCCTCAAAACAGCAAAATCCACCTTCTTTACCTCCTACTATATGATGAAGATGACAGTGGTACCAGGGCGAGAATTAAATCAACCTCTATGAGCCACGTGCGGTCTGGCGTTGTCCTGTTGGAAAACGTGACGTTGAGGGTTGATGACAGGTAAAAGATGACGTTGCAGAATTTCATCCCTGTAACGAATTGCAGTCAGGTTACCACGGACGTGCACCAAGTCACTTCTCCCGTTATAAGAAATGGCCCCATACCATCACACTTCCTTCCCTCCAAATCTGTCCGCTTCAACTACACAATTACGGGCGTAACGTTCGTTTCTCCGTCTATAGACCCTCGTCCTACCATCGTGTCTTTGAAGTTGGAAACGAGATTCGTCGCTGAACCAAATTCGCTGCCAATGTCTCCAATTCCATCTCTGGACGTTCCTGCACCATCGAACACGTGCCAGGCGATGATGAGGTCGTAGTGTGCATCCTACGTGAGGTCGTCGAGGGCGTATCCCGTGCTGTCTGAGGCGATTTCTGATGGTCTGGGCGGAGACGCGGCGAAGACCTGGGACGTTCTCTGCTGTTTGTGTTGCTGGGACGGCCCGGTTACGTAAATGGAACACCCGGATGTAGCGGTCCTGTGCAGCATTGGTTACCCGTGGTCTACCACTCCGAGGTCGGTCGCGGGTCGAGCCCAGTTGATTGTAGCGCCTCCATAAACGGGAAATTGTTGTGTGATGCACGTTGAAGTGTCTTGCAACTGATGACTGAGATTCGCCAGCCTCAAGACGTCCGATGGCGATGTTCCGGTCAGCTTCGCTAAGTCGTGGCATGTTGAATTCGTCAGTAAACTGGCGTTGAAAGTGAATTGAACACGTTAAACTGCCTTCCTCATATACCCTACACACTGGTGCATAGGTGAAGCAACTTTCACGTGCATATCGTTCGAAGTGTCATTTACACGTGAAAATTTCATGATATTTTCAAAAACCATCATCAAACAACAATATTTCATGAAATGGTGTGTTTGAGCGATACTTAATGGATATGAACAAGTATACATTATGTTTGGTTAAAGTAACCGGGTTTTGTTTGCATAGAAATAAAATAAAGTTAATTTTAAATTTCATTATCACCTGTGCGTTTCTTTTTTTGCAGAGTATATTAGCTGCCAAGAAGTTGAACAACATATAAAAAAAAGTTAGCAAATAATAAATCACCTGGGCCTGATGGAGTTGTCACGGAATATTTTAAAAATACAACAAGTACTATTTTACCCACAATTACAGCCATGTTCAATCAGATATTTGACAGTGGTGTATTTCCTCCTGCTTGGAACAGAAGTATTATTTGCCCTGTTTTCAAATCTGGAGATAAGAATGATGTTAACAACTACAGGGGAATTTCATTAATTGATACTATGTGTAAAATATTTACTTCTATATTAAACTGGAGACTCAAGACTTTCTGTGAAGACAATATGATTATTGATGAGCTACAAGCAGGTTTCAGATCAAACTACTCAACTATTGACAATATATTTAGTCTGCAAGCAATGATACAGAAATATACCGGAAAAAGAAAGGAGATTTTACTGCCTGTTTGTGGATTTTTCAAAGGCATTTGACACTATAAGACATGATATTCTATTACAAAGTTTGAAGGATGTTGGAATAAAGGGAAAATTCTATAACCTTCTCATCTCTATGTATTCGAGCCTGTGTGCCTGTGTGAGGGGTTCAAGAGGATTAACAGATTACTTCAAGTGTAATATTGGCACCCGCCAAGGCTGTATTTTGAGCCCTCAGCTATTTGTCGTATTCATCAACAAGCTTTTAAAACAACTGGAAGATGTTGGAGGAGAAGGTGTTTTTATCTCACAAGATTTTAAAAATGTTTTTGCCATAATGTTTGCAGCTCATGTGTCATCTGTAGCTTATTCAGCCATTCAACTCCAAAAGAAAATAGATGCTCTGAACTTATTTTGCTTAGAAACTGGAATGAAAGTGAACTTGAAGAAAACGAAAGTCATGGTCTTTAGAAATGGAGGACCCCTCAGAAGTTATGAAAAGTGGACCTATAATGGCGAAAACATTGAAGTTGTACCCTTCTACAGATATTTAGGCATCATGTTTACACCCAAACTGATATGGACACAGGCTCAAATTTCTTTAGCTTCCCAGAGTTCTAAAGCTGTGATGGCTATAAACAGATATCAGAGGACACTTGGTCATATTCCTTGTAAAGATTTGTTCAAAATATTTGACAGTATTGTTACTCCTATCCTGTGCTATGGCTCTGAAATTTGGGGATTTAATTACAGCAAAATAATTGAAGATGTTCATGTGAAAATGTGCAAATCTTTTCTCAAAGTGTCAAAGAATACATGTAATGTAATGGTGCTAGGTGAGTGTGGTAGAGCTCCACTGCAGCTTACATATATGACAAGAGCTATCAAGTACTGGTGTAGGCTGATACAAATGGGCCCTGAGAGACTCCCCCACCAGTGCTACAGGATGCTCACTGCCCTTGATGATATGAGACGCACTACTTATGCTACTAATATTAAAAATATTTTATTCAGATAGGGATTTGGATATGCATGGATTTCCCAAGATGTTGGAGACAAAAATATTTTCTTATCAATGTTTAAGCAGAGACTATTTGACAATCTACAACAAACCTGGAGTGTAAATGTTAATAAACTATCTGACTCTTATTCATATAAACAATATAAATCCCTACTGACTGTTGAATACTATCTGAACTCATCACTTCCATCTCGCTTAAAAAGGATCTTATCACGCTTCAGATGCAGTAACTCTAGAATAGCTGTCAACACTGGAAGACATCAAGCTACACCATATGAAGAAAGACTCTGTCCTCTCCCCAAAAAGTATTTTATTGAAAATGAATATCATGTACTTCTAATTTGTGAAGCTTATAGTTTTTTCCGTAATACACTTATTGGTAAATACATCAATACTACCTCTCAACATAACTTTAATTCTATAATCGCTTCTCATAATTATGATATTTTGCATAACACTTCAATCTTTTATTTAAAAGCACAACAAATAAGGCAAAGTAATATATAATATATTCATATCATGCATTTGTACTGTTTTATGCTATGAAATGTATGTAAATATGTATTATGCGCAGGGATATTTGTAACCCTATATTGTCTGTATTTTGGGCCAAAGGCCTTATACTGAATAAATCTGTCTGTCTGTCTGTCTGTAAGTGTTTCGAAATAGATTTCATCCTATTTGATAACGTGGACTGTTGAGTGTATGGTGGCTTAATGGGCGGCTATCATCGTTATATGCATCGGCGTGTAGGCTTTCGGTCGAATATGTTTTCATATGCACATTTTCTACTACCAAACGTACACATAGTGAAATTAGGCACATGTTTTGACCATTCAGAATCAAGGGTCCTTCAGTGGAGGTATAAATGTGATTAACGTAAGCTAAATATCATTTATGATGAGCTCATCATCTCCTCTTTCAGCATGTATTTGTCTCACACACCCATCTCTGGGCATACAAACATTCTCATGCCCGTCATCATGAGCAATTTCATCTGTAATGGGCGCGGCTTTCCTTTCAGTGCCAGTGTATTCTTCCCACGTGTATCTTACATACCAATCTCCGGGGATACAAACACATGACATGCAGATTCTTACACAACTTACACCATGAAGAATCTCACCTGTGATGAGCGCAACTTTTCCTCTCAATGCCATGGCAACAGGAATGGACTGATTCAGCATCTTTTTGTTCGAATTACAGTTTTACGTATTTCACGACTATGAGTTAGCTTGTTATATCACTACAGCTTCACCCGGCGTAGGCGCACTCTATACTGCCTATACTGGGAGTAAGTACACTCGTGCTATTGTGTTGCAACCTTGGCACCAAAACCTGATTCTGCACCGCACACCATGTTATGAGCAGCGTCCATCACCATCTGACTGACACGTGCTTGGAAATCGTTTGTAAATTTCTGGTATGAAACTAAATGGTATGGTGTTTAGTGGCGTTGTCCCACAATAACTGTTCATGGCAAAGAAGCGCTTGAGATAGCTGTTTGATGATGAGACGATCAATCGTTACAATCGTTACATGTGTAACATACTGACGTGTTTTAACAGCTGTTCGATGTGTGTTCTGAACGATTTGGTTTTGTGTGGTATTTGTAACAGCGAATTCGGCAGTGAAACTGCATTCAAACATATGTTTCTATGTGAATTCATCTAGATATTCAATTCAACCCATAGTCATGGGCAGTTGATTATTTGTGGATCTAAATTACAATTTACAGTTATAGTATACATACTGAATGAATGATTAGTAGGAGATACAATAGCGGTCCGAGACCAAGTCCAACAAAAGCCTCTGCAAAGCTTTATTTCACAAATAAAGCTTTTTCAGGCCCTTATATCTCGCCCCAGTATATCTACTTTTTGAACCCCCAGTGAACTTCCCGACCCCACGTGGCACAATAGTGTCTCTATGACCGTGAACTAGCACGTGGCGCTATCGTGATAGCTCTATGTCGTGTTGACCTCGATGAAACAGTTTAATGTGAATCGCCTATGATCTCTTTGGTGTTCGTAATAAAGGCTTGCTGGGCTTTTCGTACCCCCTGTTCTATGTACTTTTTTTCTCGTCTTCGCTGATAGCAGACTTACGAGACTTGGACCGGATTTCTTGTTTCATCTTACGGTACTTGTCGAGTTCAGAGAGGATTGAACGAAATATCTCCTCTGAGATCTTACTGTCAGTGAGTGCCGTGGAAATACGCTCACTTACCATGTTCAGCTTTGCTTCGGCTAGAACCCTGATCTCGTCGTGTTTCAATGCCTTACGATGCAGTCTGCGTGATGCAAACTTAAACACCAACCCTGCCACCCCTACAACCCCAGCTGTTATTTCAATGCCTAGCACTATAGGTGCGGCCACGATGGTGGCTAACAACCCAACACCTGCCGCCCCTAGTCCCATGCTGGTTGCCATAAGGGCAGTATCAGTCCCATCCACGATATTGAAAGCTCTATGGTACTTCTTATATAGTGCTTTCCGCGTGTCGCGGTCTTGTTCTAGTTGGCGTTTTACATCACATAACTGTCTCAAGCGGAATCCGTCTACGGTTTCCAGGGTCTTCGCGACTTCCTCTACGACTGGGTACAGACCCATTCTGTGTGCATATAATATATCTTATGAGATATTTTCTAATTGGGCTTCAGTTAATAGGCGATCAATGTACTTGAGGCTTATAAGGTGTAGACCCTTATGCAGGGAAATAGGTGAGAGGTTAATAGGTAACTCTGCGTCCACACGAGCCCCATAGGAGGGCCTTATTGAGGGGGCTATAGAACCCGTTGAGGGGGCCGATCGTATGATGATACGGTAACGTTGGCTATTGCGCCGGGGACTCCAGTGTACTGTCACCCCGGGTAAAAGTTGTTGTTCTTTACTAACAGAATGTTTCAGGAGATAGACTTCTATGATGAGTGTGGAGCCTGGTATCACAGCCGGAACCCCCAATTGGTGCCCGTAGCGGTTAAACCTTAACTCACCCCCCTCGAATGCCTGTAACATATTGGGTGAGCGAAAAATCGGTCTTAGTGTAATCATTGTATTAAGCCCCGGAATGAAACCCCCGAGCAAGGCACCGTTATTCCTAATTTCAGAGATACGATTATTTTCGATTAATGAGATATAAGGCGCGGCGAGGGTCATATTGAGCCACCATTCGGGTTCCTTTAAGCTTGCCAGAGCCATCGGCCTATACACGTGGCCGTCAAAGTGCAGGACGTACGAAGTGTCTTCCTCACCGGGCAGATCGAATCCCTCCGTGTCCCCTAGATCCCCGAGTGTAACGTTGGGGTGATGACTGGTCATTGCTATATTACTATTACGAGATAGTTTCCAATTGTTTTTCTGATAATTTTCAGGGGTGGACTTCACCCCCATGAAGTGTATGTTGTCGGGTAGGAAGATCTTGGTGAGTGATATCGTGTCTTCCACGGTCACGATGACCCCCTGCAGACTGGTGTGGGAGTCGACACCCACCCGCACGTAAACAGTGCAAACCTGATACTGGTGCCGTTTCACCCACCCGAGTTTGACCCCCTTCACGATTTCGACTTCATCCCGCGATGGTTCCCCTAGGTAGACCTTGATGACCAGCGTGGAGTTTGCTGGTAGACTCTCCAGGATGTTGACCAAGCCTTCGAATTCAGACACCAACTGCAATGCCCCGTCTTGCACTCCCGGTTTACTCGATAGCATGTGGGCTGCCATACTGGCGACTGGGCTGATGATTACACTACGTCTCTGCGCCGGGACGTAAGCCACGAGCAGGGTTCCGTTGTTCACGACTTTGTTTAGGTAGTTGTCTTTGTACTCCGTGAACACGTAGGGGGAGCCGAGCCTAATATTGAGAAACCAGTCGCCTTTAGCGGTTAACAACGTCCACTTGTCATCGTCGGTGAAGACGAGCATATATGGCTTGTTTCGGGCGACGGTCGTTCTCTCAACATCTTCTATGTCGAATAGTTTGCCCCCGAAGGATGGGTATACCATCCATTTATCATCACCGGTGCGGACTAGGGTGTACCGAGTGTTGACGGTCGCTCCTGAGGTATCTACTATATCACCTAGGGTTCTACCGGAGGGGACTTCAACACGTTTGTAAATGTTGTTTTTCAGTTGCAAGGCGTACAATTTACCATCTACTCCGGGGTCGTCGAATCCGCGTGTGTCCCCGAGGTCGGAGATCCCCGCATTGATGCATTTTTTCAACCTCATTCCGGGGCCTTGTGCGCTAGTCATTTTATGTGCAGCGTTATGCTGAGGTATCCTATTGTAACAGGAGATTGTGTTTATAGTTTTAGCAATAAAGTTTTATATTTATCACTTCAAGTTGTTTTGTGTTCATTAGTTTATGTGCTTGGGTTACTTATCCAAGCAGTTGGTCTGCTTAGGGCCTCAACAGTCTAGCTTTCAATACAATAGCCCTCAGCTTCCTATTTGATTAGCATTATGTAACTACAGCTTTCCTCCATAGCACTTGCACACTTTTTAGTCACACTGCTAACAACTCTGCACAGAACAAGCCACTCAGCACAGCTCAGGTTAGACATTTACTTTATATTAACCTAAATAGAATCTCAACTATCCATTAAATATGTTATAAATAATATAAAGTGTTGTAAATATTACTATTTTATATCAAGTAGCCAATGTACCTTTTAATTTATCAATATGAAGTGTCTAAATGTATGAATGTGTGAGAGCATGATTTGATTGGTAGTTTGAATGTAATGTTGAACAATAAGTTTCTTTCTACATTATTAATTGTAGGCATAGTAAACTATTGTACTTATTATTTGTTTTAGGAATGCATTAACACAGAATACTTGTGTGGGTATATAGGCACACCCCGGTGTCACCCACAGGGTATGTACATATTATCTTTTATCATGTATGTAATTATCTATGTGTGATTTAAATATCACCTCTATGATCATTTAAGTTGATCATTTGCATGTTAAATTACAACCATTATGTAGTGTTTTATACATCAGTGGTAATAAGAATAACTTATTATGAACTAGTTATGTGTAACTGTACTTGTTGCATGTTTAGATTTATGTATAGCATTCTTTCTTATATTACAGGGTGAATGACTGATCAATTGAATGACTGATCAATTGAATGACTGATCAATTGATTGACTGATCAATTGAATAGTTGATCCATATATGATGATGATGAAATAAACGTCACCTCACAAACACACCCGCAGCTTGTCATTATTGACTCACCCCTGCAACAATGGAGCCCCCAGTGAGGAACTGACGTGCTATACAGGACACCCACATCTTGTGATTATTCATGGATCATATCCACTGTGAGTTGTGCATTCCTTGATGCTATGATTTCCTCCCCAGCTATACAAGCGTGCAGTCAGCAGTGACTTTGAACTTTCACCATGTTGTGAATTGTTGTGACGTCATAGCTTGTGATTGCGATTGACATTCTAAGCTTTGATAAACAAAACAAACTTTACGGAAGCTTCCTTCATGGACATGGACATTACCAGTTGCAGCTGATTGTTCTCCCACCATGTAAGATTATTACTCCATTGTTTTCTGTGTACCTGTAAACTGATTTTTCATATTTCATCCTTAAACTTTACATCTGTAATTTACAATATGTAAAATGTTAGTTATTCACTAGTTCATTGTACTTGCCCTGCTCATTAGGCATTCGATATTTGTGTTACCCTGTCAGTCATTAACATGCAACCTTAGTTAAATGCCTTAGGTTACTTAGTATTACAATAAAGTTTGTAGTTGTTAAGCCTCATATATTTACACACAGACATTTGTTCATCATGCCTTAGTTTATTTTATTGTACCATTTATTTATTTTGACTTACCAAACCACGTGGTGTTTATCCCCGTCACAGCTTCTTATTGTTTGATTTACTTAGCCCTAGATATACTTTAGTTATTCTTTGTTCAGTTCTCTTGCATGATTGGGTGAATGAACCAAATATGTAGTTAAAAAACACACAAAATAAAACAACCTAAATAAAATCAATAACTAATTGATTAACTAAAATCTGATAAAGCTAATTTAGTGTAAGCATTTACAGGTATAGTTATTCAACTTGGTTATTGTTTGGACTGAGTGACGGACGGTACTGCTCACCTTAGTATACCTTTAACAACTCACTTGCACTTCGCTCACATTTGTTATCTACCGGCCTGGTGATGTATGGTTTGTTTGTTTTTAAATATAATTGTGGTTGTATATACAATTTGGTTGTTTGTCCTGCTCACATATGTGACCACTCTTAAGGGTATCATTCAGATTAG